TCCCCAGAGGGCCCCAGAAGGCCAACCTCATGGATCTCCCCTTGGTTTTGGGAGGACTGCAACGTTCTCGCCGCTTAGAGCTCCCGACGCTCCCGGACGGACAAAGAGTACCCAAGATCGTAAAGACTGCTCAAGAGGACCCCACGAGGGCAAGGAGGTCTCCCCCCGAAGACGGTCCATGAATGCCCCGAGACGTCCCAAAGGGTCCCCAAACGCCGAAGCTGGCACCCAATCCATGTGACACCGTAGAGTTCGCGACGCCAGGAGTGCAGACACCGTGGATTTTCATTGGGATGCTTGGGATGTCTGGGGCGAGCAGTGAGGAAACATTATGGTTTCATTGGAAGTTGTTGACTTTGGGGATTGTCATCTCCCAGCGGAATCCCTCACAGGAGCCACATGAAAACGCAAGATTCCCTCACTTCCCATCGAAAGAATTCCAAACATCCGAAGGAGAACACAATGTTCCCGCGCCCATCATTGCGTACCTTGCGATTGCATGTGGATGTGTGGCAGTCTGAGGGTTGGAACCCACGCATTGGGAAGCCGACCAGCGAGAGAGAGAAGAGGTAGAGAGAAGGCAAAACTGAGGGAGTGAGGGAAAGAGAGAGAGAGAGACAGAGAGAGATACAAAGAAAAAGTGAAAGGGACAGCGAAAACGAGACAGTGAGACGAGGAGGAAGAGGAGCAGCACCGTCGCAAGTGAATGCTGGTAAGAGTGGGTTCTGGTGTGGAGAGGCTGTCCATACCTGTACTGCTGTACACACCCTTATGAACATGTAAACACATTGAAACAACTAAGTGCCAGAACCATCTGGTCTAGCTAGGCTGGATGGTCGAACTCTTGGGAAAATCTATTGTGTGAATCCTCTTTCTCCAAGGCTTTCAAGAACCACAAAGACGGCCCAAATGTACTCCAAGACTCCCGACGGTCCACCCAAGGCGGCCTAAGACAGGCCCAGGAGGCATTTCTGGGGCCCTTTCATTCGCCGCAGCTGGACGTAGCCGGAGGAGGGGGGACAAGGGTAGGTGAAGGCGTTCCCTGGGGGAGGAGGAGGATGAGGAGTTGGCGAGGGTGGAGGAGGCCGCAGAGAAGGAGTAACAGGAGGAGGAAGACGAGGAGGAGGCAATATGTATCCTCCTTTTTGCAAGCGTAGCGAAACTGCCAGGCGAACTTGGAATACAAACACAACTAGTGGAATTCCCTTTTTTCAAATGCCCTCAGGGCCTCTCGTGGAGCGGGGGCTTTTTTGGGGGCTTCTTGGGGACCTCTTGAGGCCTCCTGGGGTTCTCCCGGGCCGAAGATCTGGGGTTCTTGGTTCACGTTCCCGACCCTGGGTCGCAATTGAGGCCCTCTCGGGCCGTCTTGGACGTCTCTTCGGCCGTTTTGGAGCCGTCTCGGGGCTGTCTTGGAGCGCTTTAACAGACTAGTGGGCCGTCTAGTGGCCTTCGGCCCATCCCGCCAACGTGCCTGGGCTGTGGGTTAGAAGCCTTGTGGAAGCTCGTTTGGATCTCGTGGGAGGCCTCTCGGGGGCCTCCTGGAGGTAATTTTGGAGGCCTGCTGGGGGCCTTTGGGGGCCTGCGGGAAGCTGTTTTGGGACCTCTCGGGGGCCTCATGGGGCCTCTCGCAGGGTGCCCCGTGGGCTCTCTTCGATGCCTCTTGGGGCCTCCATGGGGCCTCTTGGGAAGGCTCGAACTGTCGGTTCGTGTTTCCCCTCGTGGGCCTCTCTTGGGGGCATCTTGGAACCCTCGTGGGCGATATTGGCCACCTCTTGGGCAGTTCTGAAGCCCTCTTGGACTGTCTTGGGACCCTCATGGAGCCCTTGTGGGCCGTCTCAGGGCGGTCTTGGGGGCCTCTCTGGAGCCATCCTGCAGCGTCAAAGCCCAGACAGCGAGAACGCGACAAGCACGGACAAAAACACAAGACAAATGCCTGGTGCTTGCCTCTTTGGGCCCTCTTGGGAACGTCTTCCTCTTGCCCTCCTTCCTCATCCTCGCCCCCCCTGTGCTCCCACAGGCGCACCAACCAAGAACGGCAGAGATAATTAGAAGGACGAGCGGCATAAACATAACCTTTCTGAGGTCCGCGCGGAATTCTTAGGTCTCAGCTGGACCCCTCCCTGGCGCGCGGAGCGCGCCAGGGGCGGCGCCGCCAGGGGGTCCCAACGCAGATCCAAAACATCCGCGCGGAACGCCCAACAAATTATGATCGTGTCGCGTCTACACTCTTCAGAGAGAGGCCTCGCGGAACTTCTTCTGCTGCTTGAGTATCTCCCGCTCGGTCTCCGTCCGCCAGGGCCCCGCGAACATCTCGGGGGGAGCCGCCGACGGCGCGCGGCCGGCCGCTCGCGCGAGAGGGGGGTGGCCCTCCTCGCCCTCGTCGTCCCTGTGCTACTCCTGATCCTTTCTCAGCCCTTCCTCCTCCTCCCTGCCCCTCCTCCTCCTCCTCCTCCTCCTCCTCCTCCCTGGCACGATTCTGGATCGTCAAGACGCAGCAGTCAGGTTGATACGTGGCGTTAAAATCCCGAGAACAATGTTTAGGCACGCTTCAGGATCTTCAAACTTTTTTCTTCCAGCCAAGCAATTCCCGCAATGGAAATGAACCGTTGCAGGGCCTATCAAGAGGGAGCTTGGAGGGAGGGTTCGCTCCAACATCTTTGATGACTCTTGGGTTTCCACTGGTCCTTGTCATCCTCCTCCTCCTCCCCCACCTCCCCCCCCACCTCCACCACCGGTCCCTGCTTCTCCTCCTCCATTCCTGTTCCTTATACATAACTTTTCCCTGTCGCATCCCGAGGCCAGTTTTTAAGGCGGGCACGGCGTTTCGCCTGAGACTTCCTCACCACGTATGACTCTGAGGCCTAAGGAGTGACAACGGCTTCACGGATGGAGGGCGGGTCGCTTTCAAAATGTGGCTCTCGCCTTAGCGCCGCGCACACTCGTCTTAAACATTTGCAAGAGCTTCGCGGATTGAGGGCGGATGGTTTTCAAAATGTGGCTCTCGCCTTAGCGCCGCGCGCATTCGCTTTGAAATTGGCAAGAATTTCGCGGATTGAAGGTGGGTCGTTTTCAGAATGTGGCTCTCGTTTTAGCGCCGCGCGCGTTCGTCTAAAACTTTGCAGGAGCTTCTTGGATTGAAGGCGGGTGGTTTTCAAAATGTGGTTCTCTCTTTAGCGCCGCGCACATTCGTCTTCAAACATTGCAAGATCTTCACGGGTTAAGGGCGGGTGATTTTCAAAATGTGGTTCTCGCCTTAGCGCCGCGCACACTCGATTAAAACATTTGCAGCAGCTTCACGGATTGAGGGCGGCTCCTTTTCAAAATGTGGCTCTCGCCTGGGCGCCGCGCACATTCGTTTCAACATTTGCAAGGGGTTCACGGCTTCCCATGATCAGCTCACCAGCAATGGCGTTTTGGAAGGATTCCGGATGATGCGGGCGCAACAATTATGTTGATTCGCTCTCGTCCTGGCACGATTCTGGATCGTCAAGACGCAGCGGTCAGGATGATACGTGGCGTTACAATCCCGAGAACAATGCTTTGGTACGCTTCAGGATCTTCAAACTTCTGTCTTCCAGCCAAGCAATTCCCTCAATGGAAATGAACCGTTGCAGGGCCTATCAAGAGGGAGCTTGGAGGGAGGGATCGTTCCAACATCGTTGATGACTCTTGGGTTTCCACTGGTCCTTTTCCTCCTCCTCCTCCTCCTCCTCCCCCACCTCCTCCCCCACCTCCACCACCGGTCCCTGCTTCTCTTCCTCCATTCCTGTTCCTTATGCATAACTTTTCCCTGTCGCATCCCGAGGCCAGTTTTTAAGGCGGGCACGGCGTTTCGCCTGAGACTTCCTCACCACTTATGACTCTGAAGCCTCAGAAGTGACAACATCTTCACAGATGGAGGGCGGGTCGCTTTCAAAATGTGGCTCTCGCCTTAGCGCCGCGCGCACTCTTATAAAACATTTGCAGAGTTTCACGGGTTGAGGGCGGGTGGATTTCAAAATGTGCCTCTCGCCGAAGCGCCACGCACATTCGTTTCAACAACGTGCAAGAACTTCTCTGAGTGAGTTCGATTAGTTTTGAAACTGTGGCTCTCGCCTTAGCGCCGCGCACATTCGTTTCCAAAACCTTGCAAGGGCTTCACGGATTGAGCGCGGTTCCTTTTCAAAATGTGGCTCTCGCTTTAGGGCCGCGCGAACTCGTTCCCAAAAAAGTGCAAGAATTTCAAGGATTGAATGTGGTTGCTTCTCAAAATGTGGCTCTCGCCTTAGCGCCGCGCGCATTCGTCTTAAAGATTTGCAACAATTTCACGGATTGAGGGCGGGTGGATTTCAAAATGTGGCTCTCGCGTTGGCGCCCGCGCACAGTGGTCTAAACAAATTAGAAGAGCTTCACTGATTGATGGCGGGTCGTTTTCAGAATGTGGCTCTGGCCTTCGCGCCGCGGCACATTCGTTGTGAACAAATTGTAAAAAAGATGTTACGTATTCCCATCAACAGCGTACCAATAATTATGTTTTGAAAGGATTCAGGGTTACACGGGCTCAACAATTACGTTGATTCGCAGTGCTGACGTCCCAAAAATAACGGTTTGGCACGATTCTGGATCGTCAACACGCAACAGTTAGGTTGATCCGTGGCGCGGGCATCCCGAGAACAATGTTTTAGCATGCTGCAGGGTCTTCACACGATTGTCTTCCAACGAGCCAGTTCCCCCGATAGAAATGATCCGTTGCAGGGGCCTGCGAAGAGGGAGTTTGGAGGGGAGGGTCTATTCCAACATCGCTGGTGCCTCTTGGGTTTACACTGGTCCTCCTCCTCCTGCCCATGCCCCTCCTCCACCTGTCCCTCCTCCTCCTCCTCCTCCTCCTCCTGCCTGGCTCCGCCCCTCCTCGTCCGCAGGCGAGGCGGGGGCGAGGGGACGCCCCCCCCCCACCCTGCGAGCCTCCATGGGAGCGGCGGGCGCCGGCGGCACCAAGGGCCCCGCAGAGGCGGCGGGGTCGCCTCGGCGGAGGTCAGGCCGATGGACGATTGCGGGAACTGCAGCGCACGAGGACAACATCTTCGATGGGACGCAGGAGGGCACAGTGGTACGACGTCTCCTCCCCAGAGGCGCGCATGCGACCCGAGCAGATGGTACAGCCATCCTGTAGCAGATCGCTTCCCGAGCGGCACGGCCAGAGAGCGCCCGCCACGACACATGTACTAAAAGATTCATCGGTGCGCGTGTCGCCCTTGGGGGGAGGGGGGGGCGACGCACAATCACATAGTATTATTAAAATGGGGTGACGCCCAATGAAGATCGATGGGCCGAAATGCCCAGAAGAATCAGCGCCACTTCCTGACTGGTGGGCTTGGCTGTACAAAATAGACTATGTTCGCCCGAGCTCACATAACTCCGCGAGAAATCATGCCAAACGCAGAGGGTGAGAGATGACACCTGCAGTGAACGACAGTGTTCGCAGCGGCGTGGAAGTACTCAGCAGCAGCAGCATGGCGAAGGTTGCTGAAGGACCAAGGACGCGTTAACAAACCCAAAGACATGCAAAGGTGGACGAAACTCCGATCCTGATCCCGAAACGCGGCTCTGCCTCCCGCTTGAGTGACGCTGGGCGCGAAGTGGAAGGTCCTCTGGTCCCTTACAGGTAAGTGCCTATTCGACACAGACTGATTTTTGAAACAAAAAACCATTCCCACATGCACTCAAACTAAACCAACACATAAATGCTGGCATGAATCAATTTTGCGGAGGCGCTGCGAGAAAAAGTGCTTTTCATGTGTGTGTTTTTTATCGCGGCATTGGCATGGCCAGGAAATGCCCAATGGCGAAACGCCCGGCGACGTTTCGAAAACGACCCTGCGAACGTAGAACATGAAAGCTGCGCTATGTTTCCCAACTAGGTGAACACATGTCTGGAACTCGTAACAAGTTGGCGGGGGATGGTCGCATGTCTCCCTGGAGAAAAAATAGCTCAACACCGCACGACCAACTTTGGCAGGAGCGTCGGCCAGTCATGCCCCACGAAACAACAATAGCAGCGTTTAGGAGAGCAGGCCCGAATCCATACATATACATGTATATAGGCACACATACATAGAGACTAGAACCACGCGCGCGCTTCGCGCGCTTAGGTTCTGGCAAGTTCTGGTTGTAGTCTAAAGTGCTCGGCGTCGGAGGACACATAGTGTCACACGGATCGTGCAGCTCAGGGAGCTCCACCGACGGCTTCAGATACAGGCTTGCCTTAAGAATCGCCACGCCAAGGCTGGTACACCCATTAAAAGGATCGCGCCCAACAGGGACTGCGGGACGCAAACACGACCACAGCCACTGCTCTTCTTTTGTTGCCGCCTCCCAGCCAGCAGAAGCAAAGCAGTGGCTGTGGTAAGTTTCGTTAAGCTTGGCACCAGGGAAATGACCACAACCACTGCTTCTTTCTCGGCCGGCTGGAAGGAAGCGCAAACATGGAGCAGTGGCTGTGGTCGTTTTCCTGTCCCGCAGCGCATACGCGCGGATCGTGCCCAGCACGTACCTGCATTTGCAGCACCAGAGGGGAGCTCCATAGCGTCACCTGGCTTACTTCGGCACACCTCGCACATGGATCGTGGCCCGCAGAGACTTCCACGGACGGTCCCAGAGGCAGGGTTCGAATGCCCCCCGCCTACTTCGGCACACCTCTCGCACGGGGCGTGGCCCACAGGGATCTCCACCCATGGCCCCAGAGGCAAGGTTCGCATTACGCCCCCCCGCCCATTGCGGCACACCCCACCACGCAGACCGTACACAGAAAGAACACCACCTAAAGGCCCAGAAACAATACTCGTACAGCGCCCCCCCATGCCAGCACACCCGTCACGTGAATCATGCCCAAGAAGGAGCTCCACGTATGGCACCAATGGGCAGCTTCGGATGGCGTCCCCCCGTCCATTTCGGAACATGCCTCGCACGGGTCGTGACCAGATGAGGTCGACCTGCGGCCTAAGTGGGCGTGTTCGCCCGGGGGCATCCGAATTATTCGGCACATCCTTCACGCGGACCGTGCCCCACAAAGAGTTCAGCGAACCCGTGCACGCATGCTCCGCAGCAGCCCCATTTCCGCAATGCCCCGCGGCGCACAGTGTATGAAGAGAGACCCGCGCCCAGCTCTGCACATGACTGCATAGGGATTGATCCGTCGCCAAGCCAAGTGCTGGCTTATCTTTAGTCTTTGGCCCATGTCGCTACTGTGCCTGATTTCTGGGCCAGAGGATTCTCGGATACCTGTCTGTTGGCATGCTTCTCGGGCGCCTCGTGGAACGACTTTTGAAGCTTCTAGGAACCTCTTGGGGGCCTCCTGGGGCCTCTTTTTGAGCCCGTGGGGGCATCTTGGGGGTCTGCCACTTGGAGCGGAGGGTTCGACATGTCAGTTTGAATTCCCCCTCTTGGATTTCTCGTAGGGCCCTATTGGGCCGTCTTGGGCGCCTCTTGGACCGTCTTGGGGTTCTCCTGGGGCCCAATGCCTCTTGGGACGTCTTGGGGTGATCTCTGCGGCCTCTGAACTGCCGTGTGGACGATGTGAAGACCCAAAATGCGAATATGCTAAAATGCGTGTTTGCCGTAAGGATGGGACAACGTATGCCTCCTGGGGTCTCCTTCGGGGCGCAGGAGGCTTCTTAGAAACATTCGGAACCTCTTGAACCGTCTTGAAACAATATTCGGGCGTCTTCGGCCCTGTCAAGCCGCTCTGGTCGTTTTGTTGGTGGCCTCCGGAAGTGTTTTGAACAGCGGTGGGGGGAGGCCAGGAGGCCCAGGAGTGGGTCAACAAAAAAGGGGGGAGGGGGAGAAGGGGGAAAAGGGGGGGAATTCCGGGAGGGTGTCCTGGCCCTGGCCCTAGGCCCCCAGCACCCTGGCATATTACATCAACCACGCGTGCGTTTCGCGCACGCCTGGGTTCTAATCGGTTACAAGCAATCGGGCAAGGCCCTCGGCAGCACGTCTTTGATTGGCCGGCAGAACGGAAACCCTAGCTCGAATTAAAACATGACGTTGCGTTAAATGGCCTCTGGCCAGCCAACGACAGGGAGTGCAATGCAGGCACCTGTGTTCGAGGGCTAGCACTTGCGATGATCGTGCCGCTTGCGGTCGCCTGAACATTGTGTTCCCCATTATGCGGGATACCTGTAGGCTGGGTCAACTACCGCAGCGCACAGCGCAACCAACACGGAGGGATAAACAGGGTCGACAGCTGGAAAAATGCACTCACGTGTAGATACGATCACCTCAACAGTGTTCCTGTAGCTAGATTGATGATGTTGCGCTCATCTCCTGAGCCAAGAGGACCTGTCGACACTGCTCCGATCATGCCATGCTAAGTTGTCTCATGCACAGGGGGGTCTCCGACCCCACCAAATACAATGCACAACACGCCCCCTTGGAAGCTCAGCGTGTGCCTAGTGTCGAGCTTTCAAGCGACTCCCGAAAAGGTGAACTAGGCTGGGGCGTCCCCCAGGCAAGATAAGTATGACCATCAGCGCGCTATACCACAACGGGTCTGAGCATGTCATGAGAAAATTACGAATGTCAAGCATGGCAACTGGAACGTGAGCTCAGCAAATCTCGCACTGTTCTGTTTCACAGTGCAACGCGTAGCCGCCCGAGGTCCTCACCCTGGGCCCCAGTACAGAAAAAGTCCTCTAGCCTTGGCGTCACTCCCAGCATGCACATCAAAGAAAACACCGTGCATGCTGATCGACAATGGCTGAAAACGTGGAGTAGCCCAACTCCACTTGTACGTTGTCTGCGATTGAGTGCCAACCGTCCTACTCATGCGGCTGCTCTGATCCACCGTCGACTTGGTCGACGTGGGTGATATGTAGCCGATGCCTGAATCGATGTTCTTGTCCTTCGCGTCATCGCGCTCGGTCTGGACGAGGAGCCACCCCTGCCCCCCCCCAGCTGCCGTAGCGGAACCCCGCGTAGCCGAAGACGATGGCCACGACCAGCGCCCAGGCGACCAGCACCAGCCAGTAGTCCGTCCAGTCGCTCGCGACCGTGCCGTCCTTGGAGCAAACCTCCGTGTCGTAGTAGCCGTCGTGCTCGGTGGCGGGTCCTTCACACCCTTGAAGGAGCGCTACCGCCGCCGTGATCATCGCCAGGGCCGCTGAGCGGGTCACACTCGGTGAAACGGCCACGCCTGGGGCGCGCCGAAACCGAGCCGCCGCCCCCACGTCGAAATCCACCTCCTCCGACTGGTGGTCGCTCTCCGCGACCTGGCCCATGTCCGTGTAGATGCCGTTCATCGTCCTGAGCTTGACGAAGCGCTCGTACCCGAGGATCTTCGCGCCCAGGTCGGCCTTGTTGTCGTCGGCGCCGGCGGCCCCGAGGTCCATCAGCTCCCTCTTGATCACCTGCTGGAGCCACAACACGCGCGCCTCCATGCCCCTGGCCCTGCCAACTCCCTCGCGGCCCGCAACCCCTCGGGCCGCCGGCCAACCCGTCAAAAGAGTAGTCGCCACCGCGAAGCCCATGAACTCCAGGAGCGACTTGGGGTAAAGGAGATCCTCGGCGACCGCCGTCGCCACGTAGTACTCTGCCACTCCCGAGCTAGTCGCCGCGATCCCCTGGCGCCTGCTGAAGGAGTGCATGGGAACGTTGTCGATCTCGATCTTGCCGCTCGACTGCGAACTCCTCGTCTGCAGGTCGCCCGCCCAGTCGCTGTCGCCGTAGCCCACCAGCTCCACGTTCGAGCCTTCCGTCGGCCTCGGGAGCCAGTTCGCCGCGTCCCTCGCGCCCATCAGGTACTTGACCAGCCTCTTGAGCGCGGTGAAGGCGCCGACGGTGGGGCCCGACAACATCCGCCCTGTCCTGGGCGCGGTACATCAGCGCCCCCACGCGCGATCGGTAGATGCCAGCCTGAACGGAGGACAGGGCGGAGGTGCTCCCCATGAGCGCCTTGCGAGCTGGCACTCTGGGCGTGGGCGCCGGGTTCGCGCTCCCGAGGACGAGGGTCTCCACCGCGTAGTCC